GTTTGCAGTTCAACCCACTGTGCACACATTTCCTTTAAATTTTTTTAAGTAGGCACAATGGATTCCACAACTGGCATAGGCTTCTCAGGGTTAGCCCCAAACCCTTCAAAATCTTTCTTAATTTCCATACTAATTCTCACCCTTTTTACCACAGGGTTTTGGGACTAGAAGCTTTCTTGGGGCCCATGGTCACTTATTTCAAAAAAACAGAACCGAAAACACTGTAAAAATACGAAATATTCCGAGTGAAATGTTTTGAATGTTACCGCGGAGGCTAGCTGTAAACAATGGGACAGGGGGCACATGTGAGGCGGGCCCTGAGGCCGCACATTGGCCCGCGTCTCGGACGAAGTTCGCTGAGCGGGTTTTTGTCTACTATGCGGGGCAAAATTTTAGCGATCAAAGCGTTCGCTATGCGGAATGTTCGCTATGCAAGGCGTTCGCTATGCGGGGGTCCACTGATATGGAATAGGTGGTAATTTTATTAAATGCTGTAAAAGTTTTTATGAGGATAGTGAGGCTCAGGTTAGGGTGTGTAGAAGAGGGGGGAGACTACTTCCCGTAAAAAGTAGGTCTTAGACAGGGATGTGTAATGTCACCATGGTTGTTTAATATATTTATAGATGGGGTTTGTAAAGGAAGAAAATGCTAGGGTGTTCGGGAGAGGGGTGGGATTAAAATTTTGGGGAATCAAATTCAAAATGGGAATTGACACGTTACTTTTTGCTGAGATACTGTACTTATGGGAGATTCTAAAGAAAAATTGCAAAGGTTAGTGGATGAGTTTGAGGAATGTGTGTAAAGGTAGAAAGTTGAAAGTGAATATAGAAAAGAGTAAGGTGATGAGGGTGTCAAATGATTTAGATAAAGAAAAATTGGATATCAAATTGGGGAGGAGGAGTATGGAAGAAGTGAATGTTTTCAGATAGTACTTGGGAGTTGACGTGTCGGCGGATGGATTTATGAAGGATGAGGTTAATCATAGAATTGATGAGGGAAAAAAGGTGAGTGGTGCGTTGAGGTATATGTGGAGTCCAAAAAACGTTATCTATGGAGGCAAAGAAGGGAATGTATGAAAGTATAGTAGTACCAACACTCTTATATGGGTGTGAAGCTTGGGTGGTAAATGCAGCAGCGAGGAGACGGTTGGAGGCAGTGGAGATGTCCTGTTTAAGGGCAATGTGTGGTGTAAATATTATGCAGAAAATTCGGAGTGTGGAAATTAGGAAAAGGTGTGGAGTTAATAAAAGTATTTGTCAGAGGGCAGAAGAGGGGTTGTTGAGGTGGTTTGGTCATTTAGAGAGAATGGATCAAAGTAGAATGACATGGAAAGCATATAAATCTATAGGGGAAGGAAGGCGGGGTAGGGGTCGTCCTCGAAAGGGTTGGAGAGGGGGGGGTAAAGGGGGTTTTTTGGGGGAAAGGGGGTTTAAATTTCCAGAAAGGGCGTGCATGAGCGTGTTAGAAAAGGATGAAGGAAAACAAATTTGGACTTGGGACCTGACGATCTTTTGGATGTGAGCAGGGTAAAAATTTATGAAGGACTCGGGGAAAACCCCGGTTATTTTCATAAGTCCGACTTGAGTCCGGAAAGGGGAAGGGTACAATGCCTGCATTTTAAAGGGGGGGTTTTTGGGAAAATTGGCAGTTTGGAGGGATATGTTGTTTTATCTTTAATGTGAAATTGCTTCTAAACTTTTTAAATTCTGAGCCCCTTTTGGCAAAAACAGTGAAAATTTGTGCGAGTGTGGTGAAAGTGTTGAATGATGAAAGTTTTTTTCGTTTTGGATTTTTTTTTTTTTTGGGGTAAAACCCTGCCTGGGTTGGGAGACCCCCCGCCCTTGTTAAAAAAAAAAAAAAAAAAAAATCCTTCTTTTGACGAGAAACACAAAAACCTGCCCCTTTTTAACCTTTTTCCAATTTCCCAATAAAGTGATCAAAAATTTTTGGCCCCAATTTCATAAAAAATTTCCCAACAATTGTCAATTTTAAAATGGGGCCCAAAAATAAACAATGTAGAAAATTCCTGGCATTAAAGAAACATTTTCTCTTTTAAATTATCACGTCCCCCCCGGCCCCCTCTTATATTACGTTTGTTTTTCTTTTTGAATTTTTTTTCCCCAAAAAAAAGAAGATTTACTGTTATGCAACTACTCATTATTGAAATTTAACTGTATAAATAATGTCAGTGCATTCCTAAATGTATATTAAAACTGGCCAGTTGGAGTGTTTCTTTTGGAATACGTATTGGGAAAAATCGAACATTTCAGCTACTTTTAAACTCATTTCAAGCTACTTTCAGTCCTGAAACCAAACAAAATCATTTTCTCTTCTGTAATTTAAAAATTTCCCTTTTATCAAATGAGACCCCAAAAATACAACCCTAAAAACCCTACGAAAATACACCGCCAAAAATTGCATTTTTTAAAAAAAAAAAAAATCACAATCAAAAATCACTAAGCACTGGTGCTGCAGGAAATTTTTATATGGTTTCACATTTTTTCACATAGACCCATTTTCTCATATCTAGGCCCAAAATTTAAATGCTCACCCGCTTTTCTGGGGTGACTGAGCTCATGGCATCATACTAAAAAGACAAACCCCTGGCTTCAAAAACCCCGGGAAAAATGGGAAAGACACCGAAAGGGTTTTAAAAAATTTAGGAACATATAAATAACAAACCCTTAAAATTTTAATTTTGAGGGTTTTTCCAATTCTGTTTTTCGCTTACACCCCTTACATACCTCCCTAGGTTTAAGTTGATAGTTAGAGTAAAAGAAGCAAGGTAAAAAATAGAAAGAAAAGGGGGCAGAAGGCAAAACATAAATCCCGATTTCATTTGTATTTTCAGCAATCTCCTTCCCTATGCACCCTTCACTCCCCTCATTTTTTAAATGTAATAATGAAGACATTTAACAAATTAGCTCTTTAACCCTTTGACCTGTTTCGGTCGTAATATACGTCTTACAGCCACCACGTTGATGAACATATATACTCAAATCAGCGGCTCAAGAAGCGGGAAAAGCTGTAGGCCCACGTAGGAATGGGCCCTTGTGGCCCCCATTGCCCATATAAAAAGTCCTGCAGCACACGTGCATTAACGAGAAAAAAAACCCGACCGTTTTTTAATTTAAAATCCGATTATGTGATTAAATTTGTATAGTATTTATGGTTACCCTCGTTTTCCTGGTCTCATTGATAGAATGAAAAACATATTATAGAAATAGGTGATATGATTGGTTTTAAACTATTAAAAACCTGGAAATGACTCAAAGTAGGGTAATGCTTGATTTTTGCTGATTTCAAAAGTAAACAAATGAAGTCAGGTTCAATAAATGTCCAACTAGCCATTCTAATATGCAGTCATGAATGCGTTGACATTATTTATACAATTATTACCATATTGCAGTAGTCTGCATAACAATAAACTTCTATTTTTTTGTTTGAATAAAAATTCAAAATAGAAAGCAAGAGTAATATCAGAGGGGCCTGGAGACGTGACTGATGAACAAAGAAAATGTTATTTTAGAGCCAGGAATGTCGGCATTGTTCATTCTGGACCCTATTTTGAAATTGTCATATTTTTTAATTTTCGTGAAATTGGCCAAATTGCAAATTTCTGACCATGTTATTGGGTAGTTGAAATCGGTAAATGGGCAGTTTCTTGTACTCAATTGAAAATCACCAATTCGTAAATATCGCCGAGGTCGCTAACTTCGCGAGAGTGTAATTCAGTCAGTTTTCCATCAAATTTCGTTCTTTTGGTGTCATTACAATCAGGAAAAAATTCTCTATCATTTCGTAAGAAAAAAAATTCTTTTTTTTTTTAACCCTTTGACTGTCGCAACCCCCAATCCTGAGGTGTCTCCTGGTGTCGCAAAATTTAAAAAAAAAAAAATTATTTTTTCTTAGAAATGATAGAGAATCTTTCTCCAATGTAATGACACCAAAAAAAAACGAAATTTGATGGAAAACTGACGGAATTATGCTCTCGCAAATTTAGCGACCTCGGCGCTGTTTACAAATCTGCGATTTCGCCAACTTTGAGCCCTATTTTCGGCTAATTCCATTGTTCCAGTCGCCCAAACTCATAGCTATTTCCTTTAGAACCCCATGTTTTTCTATCGATTGAGTACAAGAACCTCCCCATTTACCGATTTCCAACTACTGTCCCCTAATAAGTGGTCAGAAATTTGCAATTTGGCCAATTCACGAAAACTAAAAAATATGACAATTTCAAATAAGGTCCAAAAATGAACAATGCAGAAAATTCCTGGCTCTAAAATAACATTTTCTTTGCTAATCAGTCGTGCCCTCCGGGCCCCTCTGATTTTACTCGTGCTTTCTATTTTGAATTTTTATTCAAACAAAAATAGAAGACTTCCAAATTATGCAGACAACTGCAATACTGTAAAAAATTGTATAAATAACATCAACCCATTCATAACTGCATATTAGAATGGCTATTTGGACATTTATTGGACAATGGCATCATTTGTTTACTTTTGAACATTGGCAAAAATAAAACATTTCCCCTACTTTGAGCTCCATTTCCAGGTTCTTTTTATAGTAAAATCAATCAAAATCACCTCTATTTCTATAATATGTTTTCCATTCTACAAATGAACCAAGAAAACGAGAAAAACACCCATAAATAACAAATACGAAAATAGACCACAAAGTCGGCATTTTAATTAAAAAAAAACGGTCGGAGTTTTTTTTCTCATTATGCACTGTGTGCTCCAGGATTTTTTTTATATGGTGCACACTGACCACACAGACCTATTCTCTCACATGTGGGCCTACCAGCTTTCTCCTGCTTGATTTGAAGCAGCTAGAATTTATGAGTATACTATATACGTCAAACACGGTACCTCATAAGACGTATATATACGGCCGCGACAGTCAAAGGGTTAAATTTTTGTGACACCAGGGGACACCTCAGGATTTGGGGTTGCGACAGTCAAGGGGTTAAACTCTGATTAATTTGTGCTTCTCACTTTGTGGTGTTGATTCGTGATGCCCAAACATTTTGTTTAAAGCCTTCGGTCCATCGTCTCGTAGGATCCAATACATTTTGACCAGCAAGACTGACTACTGCTGTAGTTGAGTTTGGTAATCCCTTCTGGTTCAAGTCGCTCTGCAATGTAAATATGCACAGTTGTTGTTGTTGTTGTTGTTGTTGTTAACAAACTGGCCATCTCATAAATAACAAAAAGGCACAATACCGTGACTGGAACGATACACAAATAATCCGCACATAAAAGAGAGAAGCTTACGACGAAACGTTGTCGTAAGCTTCTCTCTTTTATGTGAGGGTTATTTGTGTATGGCCATCTCATGCTGAAAAAAAAAATAATTTCATCATCACTCACTCCATAACTGTCTTGCCAGAAACTACAGTCCATAATTGCAAATATCCCCACATCTTTCAGAGTGCAGGCACTGTACTTCTCACCTCCAGGACTCAAGTCTTGCTAACCAGTTTACCTGAATCCCTTCATAAATGTTACCTCGCTCACACTCAAACAGCACATTGTCATAAAAACCCCTTGCCTCTACTTGCTCCTATCTAACATGCTCATACAAGCTTGCTGGATGTCTAAGCCAATTGCACACAAAACTTCCTTCAGCCTGTCCCTCCAACCTTTCCTAGGACAACCTCTACATCTCCATGGAGAAGTGGAAAAGAATCATTCCTCTGTAAGCCATGTGTGTGATAAAAAAAGACTAAAATGCTGGGAGCAGTGGGCTAGTAACCCCTTCTGTATCAATTACTTAAAATAAGAAACTGAGTCCTCAGTGCACCACTCAGTGAGTGGTGTAGAGGAGTCTGTGGAGAGACAGAACATTATCCATAGAAGCAAAGAGGGGTATGTATGAGAGTACAGTGAACCCTCAGCTAACAATATTAATCCGTTCCTGAAAGCTCATCGTTAGATGAAACTTTCGTTAGCTGAATTAATTTTCCCCATAAGAAATAATGGAAATCAAATTAATCCGTGCAGGACACCCCAAAGTATGAAAAAAAAAAATTTTACCACACGAAATATTAATTTTAATACACACAAACTGACACTTACCTTTATTGAAGATCTGGTGATGATTGATGGGATGGGAGGAGGGGAGAGTGTGGAAGTTGTTAATGTTTAGAAGGGGAATCCCCTTCCATTAGGACTTGAGGTATCAAGTCCTTTTTCGGGGTTACTTCCCTTCTTCTTTTAATGCCACTAGGACCAGCTCGAGTCACTGGACCTCTGTCGCACAACATATCTGTCCATAGAGGCCTGTACCTCCCGGTCCTTAATGATTTGTCTAAAGTGGTTCACAACACTGTCATTATAATAGTCACAAGCACGGCTTGCAATAGCTGTGTGAGGGTGATTTTCATCCATAAAGGTTTGCACTTCAAGCCACTTTGCAAAATTTTTTCCCCTTTAAACTCCTTCTTTCCCTATCCATAGTAATTCTCACCCTTTTTCCTGCAGGGTTGCCACTAGAAGCTTTCTTGGGGCCCATGGTGACTTATTTTGCAGGTACAATCACTAAAAATGCTGTGATAATATGAAATGTTCCGATTGTATGCGTGGATGCAACCGCACTCGCTGGCTTGTAAACACTGGCACCCACGGAACAACTGAGGCGCGCTCAGGCCACACGTGAACGCGTCTCGAACGAATCGCGTTGGGCGAGTTTTTTAGCATTAGTCGAGGCAAAATTTTTGCGTTAAAATGTATTGTTACCCGGATTTAACGTTAGCTGATGCTGTCGTTAGCTGAGGGTCCACTGTATAGTCATACCAATGTTCTTGTATGGGTGTGAAGCATGGGTGGTGAATATGTATATTTAAGTTCACTCCCCAGTGCCCCAAATATTTTGAAAAATAAAAAAATAATTTTTTTTTATGGAAATAAAGAGCACATTTTTAAAAGTGTTATAGGATAAAAAAATAAATTTAGGGTCAGTACTTACAGAGATATGAAGCCAAAGTTGGCACTTGGCGATCACCTGATGGCAACATGGAGTCCTGCGGCTTGCAGAAGCGTTGCCAATATACCTTTTTTTTTCTCCTTTTCATATTTTTTATATTTTTCATGTTCAGATAATTACAATTTATAGTAGCTCTTGTCATTTCATAACCAATCTTTGTTCTGACACTAATATTAGGTACTGAAATTGTACTCCTATTGTCACAAACACACTGACAGATGGACATTTACACCCCCCCTGTCATTTACTATTGTCTAGGAATATATACAAGGTATTTATCGGTCCCAGCAATGTTCTGGACATGTGGGATATATAAGAAGGTGGAAGAAGAAGAATGAGGAAGAAGGAGGAGGAAGGAGGAGGCAGAAGAAGGAGGAGGCAGGAGGAAGGAAAGGAAGAAGGAGGAGGAGGAGGAAGAAGAAGGAGGAAGGAGGAGGAGATGAAGAAGGAGGAAGGAGGAGAGGAAAAAGAAGGAGGAAGAAGAAGAAGGAAGAAGAAGGAAAAGAAGAAGAAGGAAGAAGGAAGGAGAAGGAGGAGGAGGAGGAGGAGGAGGAGGAGGAGGAAGAAGAAGGAAGGAGGGGGAGAAAGGGAAAGAAGGAGGAGGAGGAAGAAAAGGGAAAAAGGAGGGGGAGGAGGGGAAGAAAAGAAGAAGAAGGAAGAAGAAGAAGGAGGAGGAAGAAGGAAGAAGGAAGAAGGAGGAGGAGGAGGAGGAGGAAGAAGTAGAAGGAAGAAGAAGAAAGTGATAATAACAGTGGTAGGAGTAGTGGTAGTTCTTCTTCCCTTGTAGCATGAAAAACAAGCCTCAGTCCACCCCTGACAGGGAAGTGATAAGATGACATAACATTAGCTAATTGGTGACATCTGATGAGCATACGTGAGGGTGCAGTAATAAGACTTGATAACATAAGATAAGAGGTGACATTTGATGAGTATCGGCCCTGGCTTTGTTTTTTGCTGGTACACAAACATGTCTGTCTGTCTACGTATTTGTCTATCTGTCAAGCTCCCTGTCTATCTGTCTATCTGTCTAGCTCTCGGTCTCAGAGAGAGCCACAAGACTGCGTCATCACATTTACTCATATTTTCAAGCAGAGTATAGCACTTTGTCTAAATTTTTAGGGTTATCCTAGGTAATTTACACTATGTATACAGGAGGGCCCCACTTATACGGCGGGTTAGGTTCCAGGCTACCGCCGTAAAGCGGAAACCGCCGTAAAGTGGAACACCCTTTTTTTCCACTTACAAATGCATACAAACACTAGATAACAAGTTTACACTAACATATATTATGTTAGCAATAGAACCAGGCATCAAAAAAACAATAAAAAAGTACAATACACACATAGTGCACTCATTACTTACCTTAAAATATTTAGTCTTAATCTAGGGTGAGACAAGTAGTACATGTATTTATTGTAAGAAATCAAGTGTGGTATGTATGGTAGTCAGCCAGGCTACCATACCAGGCCACCCCACCCACACATACTATTCTATGATATTTAAGCATCCCAGAGCGATAAAATGTATATACAGTTCACTCATTACTTACCTTAAAATATAGGGTGAGATGAGTAGTATTTATTGTAAAAAATCAAGTGTGGTATGTATGGTAGTCAGCCAGGCTACCATACCAGAGAGAAAGAATGAGTGCATGAGAGAGGACAGGCGCAGAGTTATGTAAACAAACCAGGCGAAGGTAAGTTTTGTAAACAGTGTACACGTCTGGTTTGTGTACAAGTTACATTGTGTACAGGTTGTCTCTACATTGATACGGTAGAATAAATAAAGAAGAACACTCCCATTCTCATGTAACATCATTTTGAGAAGAAATGATGCTGTGAGTGAAGGCAATGGAAGTAAGTCACTCTGACTTTTTTGGGTTATCCTAGGTTCTCTACACATATGTTATGTATTTATGTTATGTATCGTGTTTATTATATAATTTTGAAAAAAATATCACGGATGGATTAATGAAAATGTGTATATTAACGTAATATACAACATTTAATGATACACCGAGCTCAGACAGCGTAAACAAACAAACTGAACAGGTTGTGGACGATCACTCGGTCAGGCGAAATAGACGGTATTAATACGTGTCCAGTTTTAGTTCATTCATGTACATTTGTAAGAGTTTGTGAAACTTTTACCTTATAATATTTTTATTATTATTATAATAATTAAATCACGAAACAAATACTCTTACACTGTGTACAAGTTAGTACAGAATTATAGCTATAAAGTGAAGGCATACGAAAGGAATATTTTTTTCTACAGTTATCCCTAGTAACAGGTGACGGGCTAGAGAAAACGTAATTCTTCCGACACTTCTACAAACCGTTTGGTAAACATCTCATATATATTTGTATAAATTTTTATACTGTGGGTACATGTATCATGTTTGTGTGTTACATAATGTGTTTCTTATATAATTTTGAAAAAAATATCATAGATAGATTAAGGGAAATGTCTATATTAACGTAATATGCGACATTATTGCGCCCAAGAGATTATTATTATTATTATTATTATTATTATTATTATTATTATATTGCATCAAGAGTAGAGAGACTTAGTGATTTTAATGTGTACCTACATGCCAGCACAGTGTGTAAGTTTATTTAGGTACAGGTGTACACAAGTTTAATTATCAAGTACAATACATATAAAATATACAATAACTTTAAAACACTTGAAATTTTGGAAAGTTTCCAGACATAATAAGATGTGCTCAGGGAGAATGTAAACAAACTCGGTGGGCAGCTGTGACCGTATTAGAAAGACAGGTGGGGGGAGCCGTATAGCGAGTTTTGGTCATAATTTGAAATGTCCATATTAGCGGAACGCCGTAAAGCGAACCGCCGTAAAGTGGGGCCCTGCTGTACTTGTATTTATGTGTACCTGTGAGACAGAGATAGAGACAGATAGAGACAGACAAAGACAGACATAGATACAGACAGATAAACGGAGATAGAGCCAGGCCACAGCCAGCCAGCCTGTTGAACAAGTATTACGTTCCAGAATTGTTTCTCTTTACTTAGGGCATAGGTTATAAGACATTCTGAAAGGGTGTTGCACAAATATTGCACATGGGTTATTATTGAGGTTTCTGATATTTCCTTGACCACTTATGGCCACATCCACCTCAAAGCCACTAAACTCTGGGTCAAAATCACTTTCCTCTTAAAATGGGAGAGTTAATACTACTTGAAATCAGTGAATCCCAGGTGTTTGCTGCACTGTTTGCTCTAGCTGGTGCTCCAACAAGGTACTAAGTGGTCCCAGATTTTTTTAATATGGTGCACACTGAGTGTTAAGACCCATTCTATGCTGACAAGGCATCTCAGGCCAATTGTGCCAAATTTGAAGGCTGGAAAAATAAAACGTATATATACGTTTGGGGCACTAGCGGTAAAAACATATACAGTGGACCCCCGCCTTACGATATTAACCCGTTCCCGAGAGCTCATTGTAAGCCGAAATTATCGTTAGCTGAATTAATTTTCCCCATAAGGAATAATGGAAATCAAATTAATCCGTTCCTGACACCCCAAAGTATGAAAAAAATTTTTTTTACCACATGAAATATTAATTTTAATACACACAATCTGAAGAAGACATGCACAATTACTACTCCACTAAGAATAGAATACATGACATTTACCTTCATTGAAGATCTGGTGATGATTGATGGGATAGGAGGTGGGGAGTGTGTGGAAGTTATTGTTTAGAAGGGGAATCCCCTTCCATTAGGACTTGAGGTAGCAAGTCCTATTCCGGGGTTACTTCCCTTCTTCTTTTAATGCCACTAGGACCAGCCTGAGAGTCACTGGACCTCTGTTGCACAATAAATCTGTCCACAGAGCTCTGTACCTCCCATTCCTTTAAGACTTTCCTAAAATGGGCCATAACATTGTCATTGTACAGGTTGCTAACACGGCTTGCAGTAGCTGTGTCAGGGTGATTTTCATCCATAAAGATTTGCAGTTCAACCCACTTTGCACACATTTCCTTAATCTCTATTTTCACTTCCATACTAATTCTTGCCCTTTTTACCACAGGGATGGCACTACAAGCTTTCTTGGGGTCCATGGTGACTTATTTTGCAGTTACAAGCACTAAGAACACTGGGATAATGTGAAATCACCGAATGTATGCGTAGATGCGACTGCACTGGCTGGCTTGTAAACACTGGCGCTGAGGCCACACATGGGACGCGTCCCAGACGAATCACGCAAGGCGAGTTTTTTATCGTGAGGCGAGGCAAAATTTTTGCATTCAAATGTTTCGTATGGCAGATTTAACGTAACGCGATGCGTTCGTAAGGTGGGGCTCCACTGTATTTAGTTTTAGCCAAATAAATTTAGTGTAAGCAAGCTATGGCACTGCTTAAAACTATGAAAAAAACAATCAGTACTGCTAAGAAGTGTAGTCTTTCTTTGAGACAAAGGCATACAAAGAGATAAAAGTTCTACACATAATATTGTTTTTTAATTGGTCTACTAACATACCCAAGTCATTCTGTATACACCTGGTTTTCTGGATACAATCAGCACATCATAACCTCGACGCTTCAGGCTGTGACTTAGAGCTGTTCCAATAAAGCCAGTGCCTCCTCCTGCCAACACAAGATGCAAAGAGATAATTAAGTTTTCTTTGTGAAATTTAGTTTTCATAAAATGGTCACTATATTCCATTCTTCATATCTTGACTCATGACAGATTTTTCATTTGCTTTTTATAATACTGTAAACTTTTCTTATACTGTACAGTGGACCCCCGACTTACGATATTAATCCGTTCCAGAAAGCACATCGTAAGACGAAATTACAGTAAGTCGAATTAATTTTCCCCACAAGAAATAATGGAAATCAAATTAATCTGTTCGACACCCAAAAGTATGAAAAAACAAATTTTTACCACATGAAATATACATTTTCCTACACACAAAAAGGATACATGCACAATATATATTGTATATGTACTAGTGTACTAAATGAAGAATAAATGACACTTACCTTTATTGAAGATGTGGTGATGAGTGATGAGACACTGTGTGTGTCCTGGGAGTGCCTTTTCCTCCTGAGTAATGTAGGTCCTGTGTGGCATTTTCTTCCAGAACAGGCCTTATCACACTGTGTATGCCACTACAATTCTTAAATCTCTCAAACCAACCTTTGCTGGCTTTAAATTCACCAATATGAGCACTAGTTCCAGGCATTTTTTCCTGTTCACCTGGGTGTCAGTCGACTGGTGTGGGTCGCATCCTGGGGGACAAGATTAAGGACCCCAATGGAAATAAGTTAGACAGTCCTTGATGACACACTGACTTTCTTGGATTATCCTGGGTGGCTAACCCTCTGGGGTTAATTGTTTCTCGGTATTCTCTATAAGCCACACCAACAACAGTCTCTCCACATCTTCGAGTAGTACAGCTGACTGTGGTGCAGGAGCAGCTGACCATGGTACAGTAGTATTTCAATAGTATTTTCACCCTTTTTACCACAGGGTTGACACTAGAAGCTTTCTTTGGGCCCATGGTGGCTTATTTAGCAGTTACAAGCACTAAAAGAGAAGGCAGTTAGGGTAAGATATAAACAGCTATTGGAGGATAGATGGGCTAATGAGAGCATAGGCAATGGGGTCGAAGAGGTATGGGGTAGGTTTAAAAATGTAGTGTTAGAGTGTTCAGCAGAAGTTTGTGGTTACAGGAAAGTGGGTGCAGGAGGGAAGAGGAGCGATTGGTGGAATGATGATGTAAAGAGAGTAGTAAGGGAGAAAAAGTTAGCATATGAGAAGTTTTTACAAAGTAGAAGTGATGCAAGGAGGGAAGAGTATATGGAGAAAAAGAGAGAAGTTAAGAGAGTGGTGAAGCAATGTAAAAAGAGAGCAAATGAGAGAGTGGGTGAGATGTTATCAACAAATTTTGTTGAAAATAAGAAAAAGTTTTGGAGTGAGATTAACAAGTTAAGAAAGCCTAGAGAACAAATGGATTTGTCAGTTAAAAATAGGAGAGGAGAGTTATTAAATGGAGAGTTAGAGGTATTGGGAAGATGGAAGGAATATTTTGAGGAATTGTTAAATGTTGATGAAGATAGGGAAGCTGTGATTTCGTGTATAGGGCAAGGAGGAATAACATCTTGTAGGAGTGAGGAAGAGCCAGTTGTGAGTGTGGGGGAAGTTCGTGAGGCAGTAGGTAAAATGAAAGGGGGTAAGGCAGCCGGGGTTGATGGGATAAAGATAGAAATGTTAAAAGCAGGTGGGGATATAGTTTTGGAGTGGTTGGTGCAATTATTTAATAAATGTATGGAAGAGGGTAAGGTACCTAGGGATTGGCAGAGAGCATGCATAGTTCCTTTGTATAAAGGCAAAGGGGATAAAAGAGAGTGCAAAAATTATAGGGGGATAAGTCTGTTGAGTGTACCTGGTAAAGTGTATGGTAGAGTTATAATTGAAAGAATTAAGAGTAAGACGGAGAATAGGATAGCAGATGAACAAGGAGGCTTTAGGAAAGGTAGGGGGTGTGTGGACCAGGTGTTTACAGTGAAACATATAAGTGAACAGTATTTAGATAAGGCTAAAGAGGTCTTTGTGGCATTTATGGATTTGGAAAAGGCGTATGACAGGGTGGATAGGGGGGCAATGTGGCAGATGTTGCAAGTGTATGGTGTAGGAGGTAGGTTACTGAAAGCAGTGAAGAGTTTTTACGAGGATAGTGAGGCTCAAGTTAGAGTATGTAGGAAAGAGGGAAATTTTTTCCCAGTAAAAGTAGGCCTTAGACAAGGATGTGTGATGTCACCGTGGTTGTTTAATATATTTATAGATGGGGTTGTAAGAGAAGTAAATGCGAGGGTCTTGGCAAGAGGCGTGGAGTTAAAAGATAAAGAATCACACACAAAGTGGGAGTTGTCACAGCTGCTCTTTGCTGATGACACTGTGCTCTTGGGAGATTCTGAAGAGAAGTTGCAGAGATTGGTGGATGAATTTGGTAGGGTGTGCAAAAGAAGAAAATTAAAGGTGAATACAGGAAAGAGTAAGGTTATGAGGATAACAAAAAGATTAGGTGATGAAAGATTGAATATCAGATTGGAGGGAGAGAGTATGGAGGAGGTGAACGTATTCAGATATTTGGGAGTGGACGTGTCAGCGGATGGGTCTATGAAAGATGAGGTGAATCATAGAATTGATGAGGGAAAAAGAGTGAGTGGTGCACTTAGGAGTCTGTGGAGACAAAGAACTTTGTCCTTGGAGGCAAAGAGGAGAATGTATGAGAGTATAGTTTTACCAACGCTCTTATATGGGTGTGAAGCGTGGGTGATGAATGTTGCAGCGAGGAGAAGGCTGGAGGCAGTGGAGATGTCATGTCTGAGGGCAATGTGTGGTGTGAATATAATGCAGAGAATTCGTAGTTTGGAAGTTAGGAGGAGGTGCGGGATTACCAAAAACTGTTGTCCAGAGGGCTGAGGAAGGGTTGTTGAGGTGGTTCGGACATGTAGAGAGAATGGAGCGAAACAGAATGACTTCAAGAGTGTATCAGTCTGTAGTGGAAGGAAGGCGGGGTAGGGGTCGGCCTAGGAAGGGTTGGAGGGAGGGGGTAAAGGAGGTTTTGTGTGCGAGGGGCTTGGACTTCCAGCAGGCATGCGGTGAGCGTGTTTGATAGGAGTGAATGGAGACAAATGGTTTTTAATACTTGACGTGCTGTTGGAGTGTGAGCAAAGTAACATTTATGAAGGGATTCAGGGAAACCGGCAGGCCGGACTTGAGTCCTGGAGATGGGAAGTACAGTGCCTGCACTCTGAAGGAGGGGTGTTAATGTTGCAGTTTAAAAACTGTAGTGTAAAGCACCCTTCTGGCAAGACAGTGATGGAGTGAATGATGGTGAAAGTTTTTCTTTTTCGGGCCACCCTGCCTTGGTGGGAATCGGCCGGTGTGATAATAAAAAATAAAAATAAGCACTAAAAACACTGGAATAATACAAAATTTATCGACTTTATGCATGCAACCGTCCGCCCTGGCTTGTAAACAATGTCACACTAGCCTAGCTGAGGAGCTCAGGCCAGACGGACCAGACGGCCGCGTTTGGGATGAATGATGTAAGTTGAGTTTTTCAATGTAGGTCGGGGTCAAATTTTTACGCTGAGAAGCATCGTAAGTCGGTTTTATCGCAAGTTTAGGCCATCGTAAGTCGGGGGTCTACTGTATATGTAAACTTATCTCTGGAATTTAATAAAGCAACAATAACCTTTTACATCTAGTGAACTATATTTATTTTAATGAATATTCTTGTAAGTTGTATCTTATTTTTTTAAAACATATAAAGTAAAAGTATATAGTCTATGTTGTGCATACTATGGGTTTTCTTATTATTGTATTTTGTATATGATAATTTGGAATAATAAATTAAATTTCAATCCCAGGAAGATAATTTAATTAAACTGTCACGTAACACATAGAGGTTTAGGGTCTGATGATTAAATTTTTAGATCCCAATGTTATGAGGATACCATAATGAACCTGGGTAGAAAATTTAACTTTTATTCTACATTACATTTGTATGTGATACATAAACAGATATTTTTATTTAAACTATATAATTTTACAGTCATATTGTCATGGTATTTCCATCATATACAATACAGTAATACAGGCTGGTTTATTATATTTATGAAGAGCAGAACCCATAAAGCAAAGGGTATAATCAGGTTGGATCTCAGGAATGGGGCAGTAGCTCTAATTTCTTGACTCAAGAGCCCTTTATAAGTATCATGGCACCCCTTTGAAGGAAATTCATGCTTATGGCAATAAATGTGATTATTGATTATTATGTACGTATTATTATTATTGTTTTAGCTACTATTATTAATTATTAGGTGCCCTCGAAGGAACACCTTTAATTAAGCAGTTACCTGAAATTTTTTCTTTCTCCAACTTTTTAGTTTTATTTCACCCATAGAAGAAAGTTCAGTCCAGTCAACTTCAAAAATGTTCTATATTGATGTACAGTAATGAGACCCAAATTCTAGGATCCATTCTCAGCATCCTCTTGAAAATAATGACTCGTGAAATCGTAATAACACAATTGCAAACAAATCAGAGAACAGGTGGAGCATGAACCATGCAAGCGAGTCCTAAAACTCACAGGTCAGTGCATTAACCACTGAACCAGTTGACTAATAAGATTCATCCAACTAAGTATAATTCTGAACCATACCCCCGGCCGGGATTGAACCCACGGTCATAGAGTCTCAAAAGTCCAGCCCGTCGCATTAGCCACTAGACCAGCTAGCCACAATAAGATTCATCCAACTAGGTATATTTCTACACCATAGGAAGGTTAGCACAGGCACCACTGTGACCACAAATGCAAGTGTTTACAGACGAATCTCCAGCTAGCGTGGTTTGTTTGCAATCGTGTCATTACGATTTCTTGAGTCAAGTATAATTCTGTACACCATTGGGAGGTTAGCATGGTCCATCACTAACCACAAATGCAGGTTTTTACAGGCGAATCCCACACCAGTATGGCTGTGGCAAACTCTAGAACAAATTCCTTCAAGAGCAGCATAAAGCAGTTCATACACTTTTATACTTGCATCATTTACTTTTTTTCAGCCTAAAACCAAACTGGTAGAGGATGAGTATACTGTGAGATGCTAGGAAGGAGTACACTTTAATTATTTTTGTGAAGATTTTAGATAGTAATGGCAAGTTGGATATTGGTCTATAGTTATTTACCTCAGATGGATTGCCTCCTTTGAGTATCGGGGTAACCCTTCCTACCTTCCGCATCGTTGGAAAAGTTGCAGATTCTAATAATTTGTTGAACAAAGTTGCAATACTGGGTGATGGTACATGAGCTGCTTTATTGTACATTAGTTGCAGTAAATTAGTTAGGCTTCCTGTCTTGTTTTTCAGTGAATTTATTACGTGTGTGACCTCAGTAGGAATAGTTGGAGCTGGATACAGTGAATTTGGGAAATTTCCGATAAGGTAGTTACTTACATGTACATTTGAAATTGCGATTTTGCTAGCTAGTCTTGATTCTGTAGCAAAGAAATCATTTAGAATATTGGCTGTTTCTGCAGGCTGGATGTGAGGTTCATCTGGTTTAGTTAAGTTTATCTCTTTGGTTTTGACCAGTTTTCAAGAGCCAAGGATTTCAAAGAGGGTTTTCCAGGTCCTTTTCATATCCCCTTTTATTTCATTAAACATGCTTGTATAATAAAGTTGCTGAGACTTCCTTATTAATTGTCAAATACTGACCATGAAGAACAAAAATAATCTACATGACATTGTACAAGATCTAGATATAGGGGCTTGTGAGCCATGCTTGGGTCAAAGGGAATTCCCAGATACGTATTTCACTGAAGATACTAAAGTGATGGATTCCCTGTTACATTGGACATTAAAAGAATTTACTCTTTTCATTCAGTTTTCATGTCAAAGAGAATGGCTTCTGTTTTCTCAAGGTGTAGCAATAGTTTGTTGTCTACCAACCATTTGCTGCAGGATTCTAGTTCCAGTGATAGTAAGAGATAAGATTTTGGGATTTTTAACCCAAAAGGTTAGCCTCCCGGGATAACTCTATAAAGTCAGTGTGCCATTGGGGACTGTACCTTATTTCCACTGGGGTACTTTAATCTTGTCCCCCAGGATGCAACTCACAACAGTCAGCTAATGCCCAGGTACCTACTAACGGCAGGTGAACAGGGACAGCAGGTGTAAGGAAACATGCCCAACATTTCCACGTATGCTGGAGACTGAACCCTGGACACTCAGTATGGGAGTCAAGAGCACTGCCAACTGGGGTTCTAAGTCTGTATTATTGATCTTGACAATTTGTTTCCTGTTGCTCAGGTAGGACTTAAACCAGTCTACAAAGCCTATGCTGACAGCTTGTAGTTTCCTACACAATATGTATATTATGATTAACTGTATAGCATGCTCTTTGCAGGTCTAGGGTCACCATACCTATGAAATTCCCTAACAACATTTGAGTTCTTAGGTAACCCATAAGATTAATAAGGTGTTGGTCCAGTAAGATCCAAAAACTGATTGGTAACTATGGAGAATGTTTTTTTATTAAGATACTTAAACTGCCTGACAATACACTGCTTTATCTACTCTTGGGCATCACACTGCTTTAGTGCAAGATTATAGTTCCAGTGACAGTACTTCCATTATATGCTCTGGATCTTAAGCATTTGCTCTTAACACTTATAAACATGTCTTTACATAGCACAAAAATAGCAGGGGACCCCAAATGCTCCTTTAGGAACCTGTTATCACCAGGGGTTCTAATTCTGTATCTTTAACCTTGATAATCTGTTTCCTGTTGATCAGGTAAGATTTAAGTTATCAGACCCATTCCAAGAATCTTAATATGGGTTATATAAAATTTTGTCACAGGACATCTGGATATGCCAATAATCCCATGAACTTTGCTCTAATTACTGTACACCAGCATTGACAATTTAAAGCACACTGGATAAGGCTTTCTTATATTACGAATGAAATTCTTATTCTTATCATTTATGGGGAGAATTAAACCAACAGGTGTTATACAGCGCCTGGGTATCATATATGAGGGATTAAGGTTCAATCCAAGGAAGGGGAGGACAGGTGTAATTTCTTACATCATGAGTCCCTCACCGGCATCAAGGAACGTTACTTCAGTTGTAGGAATGAAGTAAAAAAAAAAAAAACTGGAGGAAAAGAAATTCTGGCAACCACTAAAATGTATCCCTTCTGGGATATCTAAAAATAAACTGGATTGAATAAGAAATTGGTAGGTATATTTATCAAACAAATATTGGTTACTTTTTAGGAAGAACAAAAAAAAAAAAAAAAGAGGGGGGGCCTTTTATACCTATAACTACAGTTCCAAGCTGACCAGCCATGATTAATGTTACCGGTGAGTGCTGTAGCAGCTGAGCTGCCTTTTTTTCTATTCTTTGTTGGGTTTATAAGAGCTACTAACAACTTAGGTCGTGTGGCGGTGGACTTCCCGACGGCACGGACGTTACGGTGTAAACTGCCACTGGCCCTAATAAACCCAACAAAGAAAAAGACAGATTTCAATAAAAAAAAATAATAACAATATTTTTTTTTATCATGATATATGTTTGTACAAAGGAATGTAACAGTTTGGTGAACATGCTAAAAGCCCTTTTATATGCAGAGCATTTCGGGCAAACTTAAGACTAACTTAAGATTAATAAGGCAATAACACCGCTGTAATTTTACATATGGTCATTAGGTGAGTTACAGTGAATAGAAGAAAAGTAAATATTTAACTAATTCACACTATGTGGCTTTAGTAAGTTCGGTAGAGAATAATTACAGTTTTGATATAGTATATAAAAAATGCAGTATTACAATTTAGCACAACTTAAAACAATGAAGTTGAAACAATTATAAGTTTGAAGTAATGAGTAAATCGTTGAGCAATCATCAAGCACAATATACAGTAATGAAATTGAAACAATTTTAAGTTTGAAGTAAATGATAAAATAGTTGAGCAGTCATAAATTATTTGGGAGTTTTTTGAGTAACTGGTAGGTGTTAAATAAGGTGTTTTTCTAGTTAATTTTGGGTGATGAGGTGATTTCTAAGTAGGGTCTTAAATTGATCTGCAGGCAGCAGGGGCCCTTTAGTGTGTTCTGGAAATGAATTCCAGATCTTTGGACCCTTTATGTGCATAGCATTTTTGCAAAGGGAGAGATGGACACGAGGGATATCGAAAAGTGATTTGTGCCTTATATTGTTTGTGTTCTGTTGTAGTTATCAAGGAGGAATATGAAAGGAGGGTTAATATTTGAGTATAATGTTCTGTGTGTGTAGAAGGCACAATAATAAGTGTGGATGTTTTGTATATTAAGCAAGTTAAGGCTCTTAAACAGCGGAAGTGTGTGCTGTCTTGTGCAGGCGTTGGTAATCAATCGCACTGCAGCTTTTTTGGTGGGTTTTTAAAAGTTTAAGGTGATTTGCTGTGGTTGATCCCCATGCACGGGGAAGATATATTGCCCAAAACTGGGAGATGAAAGAAAAGGAACGAGAGTACCTTTGTAAATAGAAACAGGAACTAGAACTTCCTAATTAGATCAGACACTGCAACACAATGGCATCTTGGTACAGAAAACACCTTGGACAACTTTTTCAAATGAGAATTGTTTGATCTGAGAGGGACGTGATCTCCCAGTGGCTGCATTCTCACTACTACTACTCTGCACCTCTCCTTCCGACAGTATTTAAGTCTCCGCACTGTCGCTTGATCTTCAGATAGTTCCAGACTATGGAACTGAACTTCTGGCTGAGGGACTGACAACCTCAAATCTACGACTTCAAGGGTGATGGACTGATTACATCGTCTTCACATCTCTACTGTTCCTGCTTACTTTCTGTATTCGACTGAAGAAGCCTACTGTGTAGGCGAAACGTTTTGGAATAAAGTTGCCTATGTGTCTTACCTTCTAACCTGTCGGTATTGTATACCATTTTGATAGAAATACCAAGCTCCTTCCTCATATTAAGAACATTTGTAGATTTGGGACAGCCAAGAATAATTCTGAGAGCTTCATTTTGAATTAACCCCAAGGGTCGGAGAGAACTTTATCTAGCTAATATCAACATGGGAGCAGCATAATCACTTAAGGGCCTAACATAGGCTATGTTTTCCTGGAGAGAGTAAACATAGCCTATGTTAGGTCCTTAATTGATTATGCTGCTCCCATGTTGATATTAGCTATAGAAAGTTCTCTCCGACCCTTGGAGTTAATGCAAAATACATCATTCTCACAATTCTCACATTAGCACCATAGTTGGGGTTATGGTATAGTGGATTTGTTAAAGGGTACATCTACACCAATATATCTGTAAGTTTTAACGTAGCTAATGTTTTCACCCTGCAAATAGATGGGTGGGGGGTGTCGTTTCCTTGTTAATATCTTTGTTTTAGAGGAAGATATTATGAGGCCTAGTCGATTACAAATTGCTTGAACTTCATTAAGAATGGTACTCATCTTCTTATGCACTGTTGTGTGGATCATGATGTCATCAGCATAGCTTATAGCTATATGTTGAGGTGAGGCAGGTAGAGCATTTAGGAGAGCATTAATCAGAATATTAAATAGCATGGGACTGAGAACTCCTCTCTGCGGTGTACCTAGGGACATTTCTTTAGACTCACTTCTAAAGCCTTGGTAGAGAACAGAAGATACTATTTGACAGATATCCTATTATCCAGCAGAGTAAGCTACCACCAATATTCATTTTGGCTAGTTCATATAGTATAACGGTTCTCTTCTCGATATCAAATGCAGATTTTAGATCAAGAAATGTGGTAAAACTAGTAGAGGTGTGTGCAGTGAGAAAGGTGGAAATACAGTTCTGCACACTTACCTTTCATGGACCCATAGAGGTAGGGGGAAAGTTGGTGTCTGATTCTGTAGTAAGATAAGATAAGATTTCGTTCGGATTTTTAACCCCGGAGGGTTAGCCACCCAGGATAACCCAAGAAAGTCAGTGCGTCATCGAGGACTGTCTAACTTATTTCCATTGGGGTCCTTAAGCTTGTCCCCCAGGATGCGACCCACACCAGTCGACTAACACCCAGGTACCTATTTGCTGCTAGGTGAACAGGACAATAGGTGTAAGGAAACGTGTCGAAATGTTTCCACCCGCCGGGAATCGAACCCGGGCCCTCCGTGTGTGAAGCGGGAGCTTTAGCCACCAGGCCACCGGGAGATCGGTCTAAATGTATCAGGCTGTTAGATTAGATTTCGTTCGGATTTTTAACCCCGGAGGGTTAGCCACCCAGGATAACCCAAGAAAGTCAGTGCGTCATCGAGGACTGTCTAACTTATTTCCATTGGGGTCCTTAATCTTGTCCCCCAGGATGCGACCCACACCAGTCGACTAACACCCAGGTACCTATTTGCTGCTAGGTGAACAGGACAACAGGTGTAAGGAAACGTGTCGAAATGTTTCCACCCGCCGGGAATCGAACCCGGGCCCTCCGTGTGTGAAGCGGGAGCTTTAGCCACCAGGCCACCGAGACTATTGAGTCCAGGAAGTAGGAAGAACGCCCTCAATGAAACTGAGATTATACAGTGCCAACAAAAGGTTATCAGGCACGTGCGTTAGAGTTCTGAGAATATCATAGGTTATACCATCCTCTCCAGGAGCAGTTGATCGACCTTTGGTTAATGCATTACCTAATTCATACTCGGTGAAGAGGCAATCACTCTCATCAATATTTTGGCTCATAAAATTAATCAGTTTCAACATTTCTTCAGAAGTACTCTCTAAATTTTTTCTAATATGAGATGGAAGGTTTTCATGCCTGGATGTTTTGGACCAGTCATTTATGAGGTCATTTGCTTTTTCAAGAGGAAAGGGATGAGCAACATTGCCAGTCTTTTTCCTGGTTATTTTATTTATACCTTTCCAAGCCAAACTTAAAGGGGTGGACCTGTTTAATCCACTAGCAAATTGTTCCCATTCCTGTTGCCTAAGTTCTTGCTTTCTATTCCTTGCATTTGTTAGTGCAGCTTGGAATGTTCTGAGCAGGTCTCAGGTTCTACATTCACGGTATGCTTTACCAATCTTTACCAATCCTCCCAGATGCTGCATGTGTTAGATTGCGTAGCTGTCGATCATTATAGTATTTACATTGGTTTTTATTGTCATTTATAGTGGAAGGTTTATGTTTTCTTTTCCTGCCCACTTGATCTGTGAGGACAGTCTCAATAGTGGCAACTAAATCATCACTGAATTTTTGTGTGCCAATGGGCTCGTCATTCTTATATCATTGACGTAAATGGTTAATAAAGTTATCTCTGTATTCTGGGTTGAGAATAAGTTTCCTCCTTCTGTATTTAGCTCTTTGATCACTGGAGATGTGATCAAGATTGACAGTTGTTAGTCTTGGGAAGTGATCAGATAGAATATCATTAACTATGACGGAGTCATGCATCGTACATGATGTATTAAATCCAAGGCACAGATCTAGGATGCCACCTTATATGTGAGTAGGCTCAGTAGTGCCCACAATTCGAACATTATCATTCTCATTTAGCAATTTCACTAGTTTAGTTCCATTGGTGTTTGTTATAGACCCACCAATATTCTTATGTCTGGCATTAAAATCTCCAGTAATGAGGGTAGGTTCACTATTTATGCGATCTGGTAAAGCATCAGGTCGAAGCTGGTTCGCTGGGGCAGAGAGATTAAAAACGTTAAGGGAAAAATCGCCTGCATATACTTTGACACCATGATACTGCATGTTAACTCGACTCTGCAGGGCAAGGAGTGAATGTGGCAAGTTCTTTTTGACATACATCACGCAACAGTCGGTTGACCAAGTTATAAGCTGCATATCCAGGCAACTTTAGTGGAGGTGCTCCATCATTCAGTCTACATTCCTGCAAAGAGATGACATCAATATTCTTGGTTGCGCTAATATGATTAAGTCAGGCAACCGCTTCCTGATGGAAGCAATGTTCCATGAAAAGATTTGTAATGTATCCATTGTAGTGAGTTATTACAATCTCTTGCTCATAAGACGGTAAAACTATTATGCTTTGGCTACAGTGTGCAGACACTTAGGAGCAAATAGCATAGTTTGTACGTGTTTATCTTCAGGACTTTTTTCTTTAAGCATTTTTCGGCATCTTGGCAGCCAGTTCCAAGTCAACCTTTGAAGTCAGGAGTCACGGGCTTCTTTCTTACAAATTGCCTGAAACTGAACAGAGATTGCTGCACTTTTTACATCATCACCGTACTCAAGAGCATCATCCTGACTACATATATTTATTAAACTCGTCAGCATCTGTTCAAATTGCTCAATTTTTTCTGCAAGTGTGTTATAATTTGAGAAAGGTCAGGCGAATCCAGTGCCTCTCCAGTGGATGGCACTTCTGAGGTAGCTCTTTCTGTGACACCTGTCACTTTAACAGGTACCATGGTTACATTAGTGTTCGCTGATGGTGCCTGTGGCAAGGCTGT